AAATCAGTTGAATTCCATCACCGTGGCACAATGGAAAGAGGTACGCTGACCAACACCAACCTTGATCAGATCCCCCCCTCCCGTGGCTTCAACGTAATCGCTGAGATAACCAACAAAGAGAGCTAATGTTGGACATCGCCATTTAAACAACAAACCCAGTTGATCTAACAAAAAATGAAACGCTGCGGTAGCGAATAAGTGAGTCCGTTTAGGATAAGTAAGATGGAGTGCAGTGTTTTTGGGTGAGCAGCAAACAATACTCACCTGGTTTATCGGTTTCGGTCCCAGTGATCGAATTGACCAAGGTACACTTTTCGATGCAACTCGCGGTCCATGAACATATACTTTCGGCAAGTTCATGCATGACTCAAGGCATAGGCGTTACATAAATTCGCTGAGATTGGACAAATGTGCAAGCGTAACATGGAAACAGTAATCATTTAAAACGCAAAAAGTGATCGGAATCGCTCGCGAACGTGCGAGTGTACGGTGTTAGCGTGATATGTTATGTGGCATTGCACCTCGCATGTAGGTACCGTAAAACTTGAGGGAATCCTCTCATGGTAGACACACAAGTCGGATATGTCAAGTTTGGTGAGCCCCAATGCCGAAACTTCCTTGTTAGAGACTGGGAATATATTACCCCGGTTGTTGATTAACGGATGATGCATGAAATTTAATGCTGTAGGGAATTCCGAGCGCACAAAGCGGGCTATGGCTTCCTCATGAGCACCTACACAGTAATTGTCAATTTTTCGTTAGTAGCTACGGGACGTTCTGCGGGTGTCGCATATTGCCACGTCCAGTATGTGTGCTGTGGAGTTCTTGATGACGATTATATCCGGCTTGATGTACGGTAATGCCGCTAGGATGCGGGGCTCCGGTATGATTTGAGCTCGTTTACGATTAAGGGTGTTGTTTAGTTGCTTTACGATATGGTTGTGCCTCTTACAGCGAGCATCGTGGGTTTCTGCACAGGAATACAAGTGTTTCGTTTTTTCCGCAACCGCCCCGGCAGTGATCGGTTGGATTTGGGGGTGGCCGTCCTCTGGAGCATCGATATTTTGTCGACAGTACCCCTGCTCGAAGTTGGGTTCCTCTGATGTAGAGTCTTAGAAAAATTCGCTCGAGGTTTCTTACTCAGTTCTGAGAAGCTGGTGTCGTAAATACCCCATGAAGCAAGGATCCATCTACAGATTGTAGCAGTGAATTCTTCCATACTTCTTTCGCGTCACTTTCGTCAAAGATGACTTGATACCCAATGATTACGGGTTTCGTGGCGAGGTGCTGGATGACAGCCGATGAAGGGTACCATATCGCCCACCTAGTAATCGGGTGGGAAAGAGAAAAATGGCGTTCCAGGCGGTCCTTCCGAAGCAATGGGATTATACTAGAAAGGCCCAGAACTCCTAGACCATAATCCTCAAATGATGCATGAAAGAAAGTGATGCTGGTGTCCTTGAGGAGTTGTAGCCATTTGCGTATACTTGCTGGGACCAGCCTATCCATCTGCCGCTGCATCACCGCTACTAAGAGGCAATTTGTATGCGGTAAAATATAGGTGCGCAAAGATGTCCATGCGCTGGTACTTTTTGACCTGGGATTAAGATGTTTCCCGTAGCTTTGGTTTAAGTTGGTCTAATAGGTTCGACGAGCGTTAACCCTTCCAATTAAATGGTAATCCAAGTAGCCGAAATTCCCCGAATGGCTGGATCGAGGGGATTTGAAGGACGCCACGGGGGAGCTGCGTAGTGTTCAAAATAGGTATAAAAAATTTGCTGTCGACAGTGATATCCAGTACCATCGATTTTATGTGGTTTATCGATAATCCATGTTGTGTATCCTGCCTAAATCACCCAAGGCGTTCTAGCAGATTCTCGGTCACGAGCAAATAATACGACAGCAACTGCGTAAGTGATATGATCGATTGGACCTGCTGGGGAAATCCACTGTGTGTCAGCTTGTGTGTGTAATGCTTCAAGTGTCCTGATAAAGAGCAATGGAGAAAGTGGATCTCTCTGACGGATTCCACTCCCTGGGTGAATCTTCAGACCATTGATGATTGAAATTCCAGATTGAGCTGCGTTTCTGTGTCCATCGAAATGAGGCTGGAGCTTACCGTGGTGCAAAGTTCTGTGTGCCTCAGTGATTCATTGAGCTATGCTGGGTGGTGCTTTTTTGTACCTTCAGAGCCACTCATACCAGATTGGTCAATGGTTAGAGGCCAGATAAACTCAGCCTCCTTGTCCTCCAGGTTGCGGGTTGGAATGAGGGTGGCTCCTTATTCCTTCAAGCGGACTCCTTCTAACCCAACGCCAAATCCGCTGCCTTACGGTCAGGTTTTTGAACCAAAGCCTTTGGTTGAGAACCCTAATCGTTCTCCTGTCTAGGCCTGGGCAACCTGACAGTATCGTGCCCATGCAATACAATGAATTTCTCTTCAAACAAATTTCTTGATACTCTGGCCACCGCAGAGGATAATCAACGGTGCTCTATCTGCTGCATCGAGCAGAGTGGATAGGGTTTGGCTGCTACTACTCAAGCCTTCCCGTCTTCTCATTCCCCCTCTTACCCTTTTTCACACTTATCGCCCCATTCCAGCTTCATTTTTATCCCCAATTCTTGGCCCTCCCCCACTTCGCTTCAATAATCGCTTGTCTTCTAGTTTCAACTCAGATGTGAACGTGGAGCGTCATTCCTACCCTATCAACAGGCTCATGTCTATGCAAGCTGCCAAGCCCAGTTCATCGGCTTCCATTTGGAGCCCTCGATCCTCCTTCAGATTGGCATGCCTCAATGCATGCACATTGGTTCAGATCGGTCAACAGGCAGCACTTGCCCGAACATTAGAGACCCTCTCGATCGATATCTGCTGCTTATCGGAGACCCGCCTGCAAGAATCGAGCTCTGTGCTCACTTAGCGATCCCCTTCAGGTGACACTAGCAGCACTTTCTCATTGCGCCTATCCGGTGACGAGGCAGCTTCGAGTACCGGCCAAGCCGGTGTTGGCATTTCCCTGAGTCCCGGGTTGAAGCTACTCAGGTTGATTGGATCCCAATCAGTAGCCGGATGTGTGCGGTCCGATTGGCTGGCTCGTCCAAAGCTTCGAAGCCGCACGGGACTAACAGTTGTCTCTTCGTCATCGCTGCCTATGCACTGACAAACTCTAGCGATGACTCGGTAAAAGACGACTTCTATCGTCAACTGAACGAGCTCCTCGCTACAAAAAGCTCGGACACTGTAGTGCTGGCTGAGGATCTGAACGCTCAAGTTGGAAAACTATCCACTGATGAACTGCATCTGAGCGGCCAATATGGTGTAGGCTCCAGTAATGATAACGGTGAGCGGTTACTTCATTCGTGTGAAGATGCTCACTTATTTCTTGTGAGCACTAATTTTCGACACAGCACCGGCCGGCGGGTGAGTTGGCGCCCACCAGCCTCGAACCAGCTATAGACGCAAATGGATCACATTGCGTTAAGTTACCGCTGGAGAAGCTGCGTCCAGAACTGTCGCTCGATTTGGAGCACAGGTGTGGACATCGACCATGCATTTGTATGTGCTGACCTGCGGATGCGTTTTGGCGGACGCCCAAGACAATGTTGTGAGCGCATTGACATTGGCTGGATACACTTGTTGATATGGCAAGGAGCCGACCTCAGCGGAGTTCGTGCTGTGAGTTTCTTTGTCCCCCTCCATACCCTTTAGCCTCCCCCTCCAACCACGATCTCACTATTTATCCTTTTATAAATTTGCATTATAATTTTTCTTGTTGCCTAGTAGCCGGCTGGTAGCTTACGGGAACGATGCCCATTCGTTACCGGTAGTTCAGCTGACTTGAACCTTCCGCATTTTTTCTTCTATATATTGCGGTACAGTAGCTGAGGTGTTTCCCACCTCTTGCTAACGTGTATAATGGTGAATGATGATTATGCGTTTCTGTGTCAACTGACTGCTGCGGCGTCCCATCTTTCACATGTGTGATATGTACAACGGCCAGTATAAGCGCACTTCTACACACGCTTCGATCAGTGCGCAACGGAATCCCCAGACAAGAAGTGTACTGGCGTAGCCGGCTTCTTTCGCCAGTAGCATAAGCTTGGAAACCGGCCGTGTGAGTTGGCCGCGTCGAGCAAACTACCGTCCGGTAGATAAGTAATAAAAGCGCATGAACTTGGCGCATTATCGCTACGAGATGATAAACAAAACCCATTGCATCAGGCAAATTCAAACTGGGTCAGACTAAGCTGCCATCAGGCCAAACGCTTTCCTAGGCGCTCACACTACATATGCAAGCCCTCTTTCCCACAACAGTACCGAGGCCTACCTTGTAATTCACACAGCATAGTGGAATATTCCGGTATATCCTACCGACTTAATGCCTTATCACCACCCGTCTAAAATGCATCTGAGTTGCAAATCATGTCTCGAACACTAGAGTAAAAGTGGTCACATGCGAACGGTATCCTTGGATTGGTATCAAAACCTTCATGTGTTCGACCGGATAGATTGACGTAGCGCGCTAAGGCAGTTGCTTTTCAATTCCGTACATAAACTGGACCGGTCACGTGTTATGAAGATGACCAAAAAGCCACTGGAGGTCGTCGACTTGTTCACCAATCTAAGTAGTCGTGCTGTATTTTGTGTTCTAGTCAGGCAAAAAGCTTTTGTAGATAACCACCGGATAGCAATTGGAATGGGAGGCAATGACATCACAATAATTAAGCGCATATATTCTCGAAGGCTGAAACAAAATTCTTGTCAAACTTACCGCAAGAATCTATTTGGCTACGTAAAACCGATGTAATAATGGTACCTTTGCTGGATAGTAAGGATGAGGAAAACAGTTAGTTCGAAGTCAACATTGAAAAATGTAAAATTGTCATATCACAAAGTTTAACAGCCTTTGGGTAGGGGAGGAGGAACGCCACCAAGAAATGCAAAAGGATGTGATGATATTAGTGCATCGCAGCAGACAAAAAGCACCGGCGAAATCAGGTCAGCAGAAGGACTTTGATTTGAAAAGTTGAAAGTGTACGACCATCAGATAGCTCGCAATAGCACCCAACAGAGCACCAAGCTGAGTGGCTAGGCCAGCGAACCGTAGGGCCATTGGTCGATGACTTCTGCTAGACAGATGGAGCCATAGCCAAGTGCGAAGAGCGCTGAAACCAGAGCGAACAAGGATCCACGCGACCACCTGAGCACAAGGTGGAAAGAAAGGGAGTTGGTTGACAGCACAAGCGGCGAGTGGAAATAATGGAGCATCGTATTTGGAGTGATAGTTTACATGAAACCACATGTCAGCGTCAGTAAAGTTGATGAAGGAGATGAGGTGCGGATCGGATCACGTGAGAAATTAGTATGCGAGTTTACATAACGTCAAAACGATGGTGTGTTATAAAAATTTACGGGTCTGTAAACACGAAGGGGTCACTTATTAACCCTAAGTTACCTATGGAAGTCGAAGTTTATGTTGGTGACAATTTGTTGTGCAGTTATAGTGCAATAAAAATAGATTCACGCTTACTATGATATTATCACAAAACATGTAGTTTCCCCGTCACAAAGTTGCTGCAAACAGGAGCCTCTTCAGCCATATGAAACACAGAAAGACTTGGCGCCAGGAAGAATGTAGAAGAGTTTCGAAGCTTTGGTCAGTAACTCATAGTGCTGTAGCACGGCAAGTGTGCGATCAAGCATCATCATGCTATGACGAGAAATGCTGCATCTGCTCAATCCGAATGTAAGTTAAAGATGACTCCACGGTAGACCACCATACGACACACTAGTTAGAGAGCTTTTGTAAAACAATGCTCCAAGTTGGCTTCTATAGTTCAGAAACCGTTCACACAACTTGCTCAGCAGAACGGACTGTGTGGTATCTCCATCGTCTTGGTGATAATGCCACTCCAAGCTTGCTGCTATTGTCTCGGAGTGAAAATAACGAGCCTATGATTTACTCTGTGTAACAATGCGGTGTAGAAATTCGCCCCCTTTTGTCTGATGCGACAGTAGTGAACGACTTCTCAAGGACTGGTCTTCCACTTCAACTGTCAATCACCTCAGAACGTATCGGCTGGATTAGTTTGTGGGCAACGTTTCGCTTTCGATACAAAAGCTTCGTCAGGCCGAGTTAACCAGTCGGGGATTGGTATAGCACTCATAACGAACTGGGATGATAATCGCGACGAATGGGATGTAGGCAGAAAGTCAATCGCCTTACAGGTCAACGCATCACTCCAAATAGTGCACGGAACGGTCACATGTGGTCCGGGTTACAAAGTCACACACGTAAGCCCTGTTAACGATGGGTGGGGGGAAGATGTGGTATTCATTCTGCCCCGGATCCGTCCGCCGGAGCTCCTCAGACTGATCGGATTAAGATTGCTCGCCACACGCTCGAAACCTCTGCCCCATTCATCCTATTTACGCAGCTGTTCACCTTGCTACTCTCAACCGTCTCAGCAGTCAGCCTCTGGGGCTTGATCGCAATCCCTTTCTAACGATTTCGATGTTATCCAAGTCGATCTCATGACCTGTATCTATCGCGTGCATCGCTACTGCCCAGCTCCTTAGTAGGGCTATATATTCAAGCTCGTTTCTCGGTGGTCGTGTTATGCGTCTCTTGTGCGTAGCTTTCTCGCGGTTTGGCCGATGTAACACGTGTGCGCAGTCTTTGCAACTAATTTTGTAGGCGCAACTGGTTGTCCTATCTGCAGGAAGTGGGTCTTTTAAGTGCACCAGTGTAGAGCGGAGCGTTTGGCCTTTCTGGAAAATTACCCTTATGTTTCCTGTATTTAGGACCCTCCGAAGTTTCATCTTTATAAGGAATACCTATCATCTCAATCCACTCCGTAGTACGCCGTGGGTGAGGATTTAAAAATCACTGCACTTGGCGCTTCACTAACCGCTTCGGATATCCACTACCAAACAATTGGTTCATTGCTTCTTTCCAGGAGGCCTTCATATCTTCTTCCTCTGTGCACAGTGTCTGGGTTCTGCGAAACAGAGATGAGGCGATTCCAGCATACACATGCTTTGGGGTACACCACGCTTTGGAGTACATCATCTGCGTCTGTCGGCTTACGATATATCGCTGCTTTTAGTCTACCCGTATTCCTGTGAACTAAGTAGTCAGCTTCAGTGCACACACAGTGGTCCATCTGTGAGACTAATCAGATACAAGCGAAACAAAAACACAAGTAGGGAACTAAGACTATAATCGGCCTCGGAAGATCGTGAGAGTGATCACGGACAATGCTCTACCATCAATTAGTGAACGGTACTTGGTATACTCTTTAGTGTACCTTTTACATTTTACTACACAACCTTCCGGTCAGCTGATAACATCACCAGCTGTACTGACTATTCTTTCAAACACCTCATATATTTCAATATCGACCAACATTCCTTTTGAATCGCCGGCTGACTATAGACCACCTAGTGTACAACATCTGGGAGTCCCAAAATACAATCATGGGAATACACGTTTTCAATTCCTTTTGGCATCCAAGAATGACGGGTTATTAATCCAGGAACTCTGCAACCTAAAAGCGTTACCACCATACGTGCTGACCTAAATACGATAAGTGGATACGATAACTCCACCGCAGTTCGACCATCTTCTGGATATTTGCACAAGTAGGAATCGTGAAGATGCGGTGCTAACGTACAAGTGCACATCCGGAGAGTGTGAGATTTAGCCCACGAGAACCAGTCAGTCGGTGCAGCGGCTATTGATCATGTGACTGAAGCGTAAGTCTCATCCGCCATTGGGTGACACTTAAGCGGTGGTAGTGTGGCTTTCCCGACGCCTAAGTCACAACGCCTACTGAGACGGTAGCTCCGATCCCTGATAGCGTTGGCGGTATAATCGATGCGGACATGATTCTCGGTCAGCCCAATGGTCCGAGTCCACTAACCTCTGACGGCGCGTACGGCCCACATCTGACTCAACGGGTGGCGTAATCCAATGTGTGTGCTGCCTAGAGGATAGCAACGGACGAGTCACGACATTTCCTAATCGGTGAAGGGAATTGAAGTCATTTGGCAGCTGGAGGTTGGATAACATGAACGACAAGCTACACTATATTGTCCAAATGTATGCATTGAGAAATAAAACAGTAACAACCTAAATGAGGCGAAGGGACACCAATCAGGTCAAGTATTGTAGGCTTCACAAGCTGTGGGGATAGCTTGGAATGAAAAGAAAAACTCACGGCCAAAACCGGACCAAGACCAGCAAGTTGTGGTGGGTTTGGACTTGTGGAAGCAAGAAACATCACATAGGCCGCAGGACAGCTCGCCAATGCCGCCATGAGCAACCAAAGAAATTGCGCCCGACGAACGTAAGCCGCGCTCGCCCAGTCGGTTTCGTCTATCATCGGTTTTGCAAAAGAACGACTGTTAGAGGTGCGCTGCAGCACTTTCCTTCGATTCACCACGTATGTGACCACCACAGTCAGCAAAGCACATATCAACCCAGACAAGGTCACTGCCAGGTGATATGTCAAACTGTCATAGGAGGCAGAAGAGTAGGATTGAAACGCTGGCAGAAACCCGTTTGTCAGCAAGCTGGAGTATCCAAGAAGGATGAGTGGCAAGAAGTACTCTGTTGTGCAGAGATTTATCCCCTTGAATCGAAACAGCGGGTCGGTTTCCAGGGGCAACTCCTGCATTGGCACGGTTGTTCCTGCTGTGATGACAATCCGGGAGGATATTGATCGAGGTGTGATAGTAATAAAGAGGATAGTATCGATGTTCAGAGGGACAAAATCACCGAAACACACACAGAATGAGGATAGGAACGGGTGAAATCCATATTGATACGAAAGTCACAGTGTTGATTTTCTTAAGCCGAGAAATGAGAAATTCAGTCATACGGACGAAATGACCACCATCTGTCGTATAGACTTCCGACAAGCGAAGCAAAGTCCGGACAGCGATCACAAATCTACTATTAATGAAAAGTAGATCTGTTATGCTGCATATATTTTGAAGCGATATTCAAATGAGACGACCTTTCACCAGGCGACGCTTACTGTTGAGTTTCATGACATCTGTCCCTCTTGCTATGGTCGTACGAGATAGCCAAGTCAAGATAAGCTTTAGGTACATAATCAATCGTAAATAGACTAGAATAATAACATCAAGAATGCAAAAGGGAAAAGGGTGTGCTGTTGTCACTCGAGTAAACTGGACAGCTTTACTGAACAACGACTGCACATTGCTAAACATAATCCTAAAGATTCGAAATTGTCGAATACTGATCACTGCATTGTGGAGGAAGTAGAAATAAATTCTGCACAACTCTTTCGAGATATGGTGAAACACATTATAAAAATTGCCAGCCGTCAATATCGTTATCGTTCTCATGTAACATTTAAAATATCTGACTCACTGTATTGCAGTACTCACAAATGTGAGATGGAATCCTAAATGTGCGACGGTTCTCTGTATCAGTGGTTATATATATATATATATATATATATATATATATATATATATATATATCTTCAACATTATATCAATTGCAATATAATTGGCTGTGCCACAACACATAAGTAAAAAGGATAGCATGAAAGGGAAAACAACTGTTAGGGTAGAAGGGTCTCACAGCAAATGCACCATTGCGTACGGTCCTTGGCCATATTCTCCAGCGTTTGCAGCCAGGTGTGCTCGGGGTCCTTTGGTCCCCAACGCAGGATTCGGGAACGCTCGACAACAGTCAGCTTCAACATTTGCGCTTTAACACATTGGATCCAAGTTTTACATTGCCCTCCTTTTCGTCGCTTCCAAGCCACACCTGTGTTAGCAAATAGGGCTCGTCGTGGTAACCGCTGGGTAGGTATGCGAAGCCCATGACCAAGCCAGCGAAGTCTCCGCAGTGAAATGATGCAGGCAGCGGTGATCGAAGAATGATAGCCGTTGAACATCGCCTTTGCGAACGGGCCAAGTCTCACAGCCGTACAGCAGAATCTCTCATACCGTAACAGTATAGACTCCTCCCTTGAGAGCGAGGCTCAGATCACGACGAAGTCACAGGTGACGAAGGTTAGCGAAAGCGACTCTAGCCTTGAAGACACGTAGAAAGATCTCGTCTGTCAAACCACCAGTACTAAGACAACTCTCAAGATAAATGTATTTGTCGACCACTCCCAACGGATGCCCCGAAAGGATGAGAGAAGGACATGCGCTTGGCCAGTCCTGTAATGGGACCTTACATTTGGAGGGGGCAAAGCTCAACCAAAATTGGGCGGCGGACATCGCCAGTTTGAGCAGCACATGCTGGGCGGCTTGGGAAGACTCGCAAATCACAGCAATATCATCGGCGTACTCTAAGTCCCGAATGCAGTCACAAGGGAGTAGTTCAACACCGCAGGACTCAGAGTTATTCAGGGCAGTATCCAGGATCTCGTCCATGGCGAAGTTGAACAAGAATGGGGAGATGTCAGTTCGCGAGTGAGAGCAGGATCCCCAAATTTGAAAAGGACAGAAGAAAGTTCATCTGGGCCAGGTGACTTGTGGCGCTTCAGTAGGCGAAGCTTATTGGAAACCTCAGCCACTGTCGGTGGAGAAACATCCACGCACCAGGAAGCATTGTGAAATCCGAAAGATAGACTCGGTTGCGCTGCTGGCCAGTTGGATTGATCAAAGTGCTCTGCCCATCGTACCTGACCACGGTGACGACTGTGAATTAGTTCACCGTCATTTTCACACAAAACTTCACTCACTGTTGGTCTTCTGACTCCCGTGGAGCGAGAAAGTTGGAAGACTTTGCGGGAGTTCCCTGATGAGACTGCCCGCTTCATCTCAACGACGCGCTGTGTCCACCAAACCTCACGATCCTTCCTGAGGAGCTGTCTGAGCTCAGCACTTGTGGTTCTGCGTAGTGCGTGGTACTCAACTCCAGCGGGAATTGTTCGACGACTTTCCATTAATTGGAGAGACTGTACGGAGATCCAATGAATAACAGCTCGTCTAGTGAAGCCACGGATCAGGTTAGCGGACTTTCGTAAGGCGCTCTGGATCTGTATCCAGTGTGTCTCGACATCGGAGGATAAAGAACGTAAGTTGGAGGCTACTATGTTCTGAAATGTGCCGAGAATATTTGGAACGGCGAACTTGTCTATGTCAAACCTGTTGAGTGCCTACAAAGCGCAGAACGAACTTAGCACATACGAACGCATGATCCAAAGTCAAGTAAATGTTCCATATTGACTTTCAGTCCGTTATGCAGCCATGCCAACGGTAACTAACAGCGATGTGGTCAATTTGCGTCCAAGACTGACCAGTCGCCGAAGGTCGCCAGGTGGCTCGGTGGAGCCAGGAACGTCAGAAATTGGTGCTGGAGAGGATCAAGCCGTGCTCGGCGCACAGTTGCAGGAGTCGATCGCCGTTATCCGTCCTGTGATTTTCGTGGCTGCGTTAACCCCCAAGTTCGCGCTCATGAATCTATAGTCTACCGACCTGTGCACTTAGCTCACCGGCGAGTATCACGATGTCCGTGCGGCGTTTCTTGCGGAGGAGGTCGGTGAGTTGGCAGTAGAACTCGTCTTTAGCTTCGTGCGGGCTGCAGTCAGTTGAAGCGTACGCCGCCACAATGAATAAGCAGCGCCTAATGGTCCCGTGCTAAAATATATATCTAACAATGTTTTGAACTGCTGCATAGATGTGGCCTCCATCACAAGTTCAAGTAAACTGTCACAAATATTTACCATTCTCCGATCGAAGCACAGTGGATGGAGAACTGGCTTCACATCCGGCACGACAAGTTCGTATGTGTCCGAGGGTGCTGCATAGCCCTGGCAAGTGCAGCATTGGGATCAGCATGGGGAAGTCACCGAGATGTAGAATACGGTAGGTCATAACGAGGTAGACTTGCACCCGACGGTAGGACAAGGTTTAGAGTCCTAGTCTCTCGCACTGGTCATAGTATAAGCCACATAAACTACGAATTAACTGGGTAGCAACGCGCTGGACCAGTTCGCTCTTCTGTGCCTCGCCTCGGATAATCGGAAAGTATACCGACGAACCGTATTCTAGCATTGATCTAATGATGAAAGCGAAGAGGCGAGTGGCAACCTCTTCAGACCATGTGCCGAAGCTACGTTTGAGCGCCCAAAGCATGCGCAATCCGTTACGATATAGCCTGTTGTGTAGTGTGGAACGGAAACTGTCGTGGCGCGCTGCTTGACTTTGAACTGGTGCCTACGTTGCGCTCTCATTTGCCTTGCAGGAACCTGGTCGTGTGCTTTAACGGAAGAAGTGCAAGCAGAAGAAGGTTGACTGTAACGTTTATCTTCCTTTTTATAACATTATTTCCTCTATTGTAGTTTGCTACGTGCTGCTTAATAAATCTCCAGTTCCAATTTCCGGAGTTCTCCCAAGCTTGTATATTACAATATTGGCGACCCTGACGAGGCACGTTCATCAGGAATCCTGTATCACTGGTCTAATGAAGATAATGCCGAAGACAACCGACAAAGCCGATGACGAAAGTAATTTTGACGCTAATGACCCGACGGCAAAGCTCGCTGCTTCGCTCGATGTGTTATCACGGACTTTGCAGAAAATGTCGACTTCACCAACTTCTTCAACCAGCATGCCATCTATCCCGCAGTCAGAACGCTTTACCCTGGGGATGCTGTACCCCAGGTGGGAAAAGCAAGTCCAGTTTTATCTGCGTCATTTCCCATCCAACCAACAGACAGCTGTGCTCGCCGGCCTGATCTCGGGAGAGGCCTTTGATATTGTTGCAGACAGTAAAGTTTTGGAGAAAGAAGTTACAACCGAGACTTTTTCCGCCATGCGCCGGTTATTAGCCCGCCCCGGTCTACCTGCGCCTCTACGCAGGGCATTCCATGCACGTTACCAATATCCGGGGGAAACCATCCGCACATACGTTCGCGAGCTGCAGAGGATGGTCGATATCTCATACAAGAACGAAACGCCAGACGAACGTGAAAAACTGGTCTTAGGGCAACTCCTAGAGGGCATTCAAACGCCGTCTATTAAAAGGGAGTTCCTGCGATACCCTCCCCGCCGTTTGGACGAAGCATTGGAAACAGGTGACCAGTTGGAAGAAATAGATGCAGCGATGGGTACACCTACATCTGGCTGTTTTGCTGTAAGAGGGAACACACGACAGACGCGTCTTACCTGAAAGAATGACGGGAAACCCTGGCTGTCTTCAGAGATATCCCGCCCCACGACGACCGGCACAATCAGGTTTTCGTTGGCCCCACAGACAAACGTCATACCGCGGATCGTCTCCCTACAGGAACACGCCAGGTGAGCATGCCATGACATCATTTGTGATACCATTTCTTACTTGCAACTCGATTGTGACGTCGCTAACACTAGAATTATCGATAGCTGGGATTTGCTTACCGGGGCTAGTGGATACTGGCGCAGCTAGAAGCATAATCAGGGCCAGCGTGAGTAGGAGCTTCTCAAACTGTGTTAGAAAACCTTGTAACGCTCGCCTTACCGCGGCTAACGGGCTACCACTAGTTGTTCGGAATTCCATCGTTGCCCCCCGTTGTTGTAGCCTGCACAACGTTTAGCCATGAATTTATCGTTGCTGATCGGATACCGTTCGATGTTATTATCGGAATAGATTTGTTGAGGAGGTTAAAATGCCGACTTGACCTGAAGAAGTCCCAACTAATCACTGATTCGTGCACCATACTA